ACCGGAAGGGGCTACAGGTGAAGGCCCCCGGCTCCTCCCAGCCTCGGGCCAGCAGAGCTGCAGGCCAGACCAGGCCAAGGTGCATTCCAGAATACTGAAATTGCTAAGGAAAAGGAGTTTACTGAGAAAATTACCCAGTAAATCAGATGGTCAATGACACTATCTGTTTGGGATTTGGGGTTTTTGTCTGTTGGATTTTTCCCCTTTGTCGTGTGTTGCAGATTTAATCAGAAACACTGAGTTCAGAAACTACAATCTTTCTGAAATCCAGCCCTGTGGGCCTGAATCAGAACGCCTGGGGCATGTGTGTTCAGAGATCTTAGTCTCAGCTGCACACACCCCAGGTTCCATCAGGGACTCATGAAAGCAAGCTGTATCCCAGTAAAGCAGGCTATCTCAAGCAAAGCCCAGAAGAACACTGCTCTAAGTCACTGAATCAAAATCCAGGGCCTGCACCCAACACAGCACTCTCAAATACATCCACAAAACTATTTGAAGCCCACTTGGGAAAAGGGGAGTAGGAAGACTGCCTGCTGGATTCTGGGGCTACAAGGAACCATGCAGGTTCTGTCCTGGGCCCTCACTGCACTAGTCCCTTTCCTAGATGACACGAACCCTCTTGTTCCCTCAGCAGCTTCATGGGGACAAAGCATTCCTTTCCCCCAACAGACTCACTGAAGTTACCTGCGTCTATGGATTTGTGGGGCATTAAAACAATAGCAACACAGATTAGTCACAAATTCCTATGCCCACACACACATAGGAAGTACCCAGCTTGCAATGGGGGTGGGGGATGGGGAAGGCTCCCCTGAGAAAACCCCCAGAGGGGGGAGCTAAAGACTCAAGAGGTATCAACAAAAGCCCTCTTAAATGTCCCAAGTAAAAGCTGGCAGCTTCACAACCTGCTCCCGCCAACTCCTCCTCCTAACAGCACCCCTGCAGCCGCTCAAGTTGTAGAGTTCCGGCTCCTGTGAAAAGCCATCAGAGCACACTTTCCAAGAAAGTCGGAATCCCACCATCAGAGTGCCCTGAGAAAGGTGGGACCCCCCAATGTGAGTGTACTGAGAAAGGTGGGATTCTGCCCCCCCTTAGAGTGCCCTGTGAAAGGCGGGTTCCCCATTAGAGTGCCCTGTGAAAGGCGGGTTCCCCATTAGAGTGCCCTGTGAAAGGCGGGTTCCCCATTAGAGTGCCCTGTGAAAGGCAGGTTCCCCATTAGAGTGCCCTGTGAAAGGCGGGTTCCCCATTAGAGTGCCCTGTAAAAGGTGGGATTCTGCCCATTAGAGTACCCTGTGAAAGGTGGGATTCTGCCCATTAGAGTGCCCTGTGAAAGGTGGGTTCCCCCATTAGAGTGCCCTGTGAAAGGTGGGTTCCCCCATTAGAGTGCCCTGTGAAAGGTGGGTTCCCCCATTAGAGTGCCCTGTGAAAGGTGGGTTCCCCCATTAGAGTGCCCTGTGAAAGGTGGGTTCCCCCATTAGAGTGCCCTGTGAAAGGTGGGTTCCCCCATTAGAGTGCCCTGTGAAAGGTGGGTTCCCCCATTAGAGTGCCCTGTGAAAGGTGGGTTCCCCCATTAGTGCCCTGTGAAAGGTGGGTTCCCCCATTAGAGTGCCCTGTGAAAGGTGGGTTCCCCCATTAGAGTGCCCTGTGAAAGTTGGGTTCCCCCATTAGAGTGCCCTGTGAAAGGTGGGTCCCCCATTAGAGTGCCCTGTGAAAGGTGGGTTCCCCCATTAGAGTGCCCTGTAAAAGGTGGGATTCTGCCCATTAGAGTACCCTGTGAAAGGTGGGTTCCCCCATTAGAGTGCCCTGTGAAAGGTGGGTTCCCCCATTAGAGTGCCCTGTGAAAGGTGGGTCCCCCATTAGAGTGCCCTGAGAAAGGTGGGTCCCCCATTAGAGTGCCCTGAGAAAGGTGGGTCCCCCATTAGAGTGCCCTGTGAAAGGTGGGTTCCCCCATTAGAGTGCCCTGAGAAAGGTGGGTCCCCCATTAGAGTGCCCTGTGAAAGGTGGGTTCACCCATTAGAGTGCCCTGAGAAAGGTGGGTCCCCCATTAGAGAGCAGAGGAAGACAGGATGCTGCATTAATCATCCTCCAGGAAGCAATCCTGATGTGCTCACTAACTAACAGCATACTGAGGATGTGGCTCAAACTTTAGTCCCGTGGGGACTGAAATTATGAGGGTGACTTCCAACACACTGCGGTGGCCTTTCTGTCTTAGGCTCATGCCCCTGACTCCAACCTCAACAGGCAGCAGTTTCTTAAAGCTGACTTAACTGGAAAGGCAGGGGTAATAAGAGATCTCGAAAGCAGGCCCTCATCTACACTGACAGCTCCATCTACCCGCAGGACTCCTAATGCTCTGACACAGTGTCCCACCCCGGTAGTACAGATGGGACTCTGTTTTCCACACCTCACACACAAAGCCAACTCATTTTTGCCCTTTATGTTGTTATTGATGTATAGAAGGTGGGCTGAATTTGATTTGTCACCGAGGGAGGCATCTACAATTGTTTTCCATGGCCACAGCAAAGGGTGAGCTGGACAAGTGGTACACACCAGAACCCAAACACTGGGGGAGGGACTAGAAGTGAGCGAGACGGGGAGAGGGGTCAGAGAGACAAGGAAGACAGCTTCTTTCTCACCTCCTGACCTGAGGTAAGGGCCTGGCATGGCGGTTTTTTGTTTTTCACAGCAGGGCTGGCTTCTGGCTTTGAAATGGTACAGGCTATGTTCGAGGCCAAACCTGAACATGTCTACCTCAAGCTGTGGCCTATCATCTCCTCTGTCTTTAAGATGACCAAAATTAAGTTGGGCGGCGGTGGCACATGCCTTTAATCCCAGCACTCAGGAGGCAAAGCCAGGCGGATCTCTGTGAGTTTGAGGCCAGCCTGGTCTACAGAGCAAGATCCAGGAAAGGCGCAAACCTACACAGAGAAACCCTGTCTCGAAAAAACAAAAAAAAAAAAAAAGATGACCAAAATTAGGTGAGGGGGACCTGTCCCATTTCCTAAAACACTTAGAAGACCCAGGGCTGGGGGCTGGAAAGATGGCTCAGCAGTCAGGACTGCTGACCCTCCACAGGAGCAACAAGCTCTCAACAGCTGAGCCCTCTCTAGTTCCTCTTTCTCTCTTAACCCTCATGCTGAAGTCTGTAAAAACACCCTTTATTTTACAGTAATTCATATGCTGGAGAACATGCCTTTTTAACTGAGTCAAAAGAAATGAATGCGGGATTGAGTGGTGCGTGAGTGTGTAGGTACTGTGGAGCACTGGTGAAAACATGCTTTAGAGAAACAGTTACGGGCTAAGGAGATGGCTCAGCGGTTAAGGGCACTGGCTGCTTGTCCAGAGGACCCGGGTTCAATTCCCAGCACCCACATGGCAGCTCACAACTGTCTGTAACTCCAGTTCCAGGGGATCTGATACCTTCACACCAATGTACATAAAATAAATTTAAAGAAATTATTGAAAAAAAAAGAGAGAGAAACAGTGAAACTTCTTAAAGAGACAAGATGGACAGGTTACAGCTCAGCGGGACAGCACAGGCGCTGCCTGCACAAAGCCCTGCATTTGACCCACAGGACCAGTAAGTACGTAAATAATTTAGAGATGACCTCGTGGCCCATCTGCTCTCCTCACACTTTCACTGACACCCTCATCCCCGTCCTCCTTCTCCCAACAAGAAACTTCTGATGGTGGAAACCCTGTCTGTCGCGCCCCCACATTGGTGTTCAAAGAGCCCATCCCAATGCCTGATACGAGACCAGACCCAAGTTCTAGTCCCTGCCCATCACTGCAGAGCAAGCACCAGGAATGTTCTAGAATGGACCCATCCCCAGGGCTGGGATGATCGGCATCTGTGCTAAAGAAGATGGGCAAGCTACTTGGGCACGCTCCCCTGTGGAATGGAGCTAGCACTTCTCTCCGAGAGCAGGCTGGCACATGCTGGCACAAACAGCTGTGAATCCTCAAGTCCTATACAAACCACGGACTAACCACTCCTGTAAAACAGAAAGTGGGAGGGGAAATGCAGGAGGGTGGGTATCTGCAAGACAGCTGTATACCAAACTATCAATGAACAAATTTAAAAGATTCTTTTTCCTTTTCTTTTTCTTTTTTTTTTTTTTTTTGTTGTTGTTGTTGTTTTGTTTTATTTGTTTTTTCGAGACAGGGTTTCTCTGTGTAGCTTTGTGCCTTTCCTGGAACTGGCTTTGTAGACCAGGCTGGCCTCGAACTCACAGAGATCCGCCCGCCTCTGCCTCCTGAGTGCTGGGATTAAAGGCATGCACCACCACCGCCCGGCTTAAAAATATTCTTTAAACTGGGCATAGTGGCGCACGCCTTTAATCCCAGCACTGGGAGGCAGAGGCAGGCGGATGGATCTCTGTGAGTTCGAGGCCAGCGTGGTCTACACAGTGAATTCCAAGACAGCCAGAACTACACAGAGAAACCCAGTCTCGAAAAACCAAATATAAAAAGAGCTGTGTGCAGGTCTGAGCGACCGAAGGAGTCTGACTGTGGGAGGGAAGAGGCCAAAGCTCTGCTCAAATGCACAAGGAGAAAAAGACAGACCAGAGGACACATGGGTCAGCAGCATCTGAGCACACAGGGCCACATGACGGGCTCACACCTGAGCAGGGCTCAGGACAGACATCAGGCCCTTAATTTCCCCGTTATTAGTGTGAACAACCCCAGGCCCTTCTCCTGGCCTTATTCAAAACAACGAAGCTTCATTTGTCTGAAGCCTCTTGGATGCCAGAGGAACTCGATCCTTTTTGTTTTTCTGGGGTCCTGCCGGTGGTCTGAACCAACAAACAGGGCTGCTAGCTCATCCATCTGAGACAAGCTGCCAACCCTTCCCAGGAACACAATGCCTTTCTGCTTCAAAGAAGTACCCTGAGTGACCTGCTCCATGCCACAACAAAGGAGCCAGACCCCAGCATAAGGCTTCTTCTCACCTGTTAAAACAGCATTTAATAACATACAAAAACAATCTGTCAGTGACTTACCTCAAATTCTTCCCAAAAGCCCTGTTTGACTTTATCTGTGGTCTCAGCTAGCTTGCTTAGCTCTCGAACCCGGCTTTCGATTTCAGCAGCATTAATACGAGTTGTGTTGAGGGGCTGTTGTGTTCAGCAGTGGTGGGAAAGGAAGAAAACATGTTTAACAGTGTTAACACAGAAAGAAAAAGACTTCACAAAGGCAAAGGCAGGATGCACATCACCCCAAATGTGTGCAAGTGTATGAGTGCCTATGCATGCATGTGTGCATCTGTGTGTATGTGTGTGCATTCATGCATGTGGGTATGTTCATGTTTGTGTGGTGTGCTCATACATTTGTGTGGGATATGTGTCTCTGTGTTCTGGTGCCTATGTGCATGTGTGCATGTGTACACGATGGTGACATGTGGAGATCAGGAGCAGCATTGAGGAGGTGTTTTTCCCCTTCCTTGTTTAGGTAGGCTGCAGGGATAAAACCCAAAAGCACCAGCACTCTCCCTGAGCCCCAAACTCAAACACTTGGAAATGTACTTTCACTTTCTCTTCTGTTCCACCAGGAAATGCCTCTTCACTCTCAACCAACATGTTAGAACTCAGCTGATACAAATTCAAACCGAGATTTCTAGACAGTTAAATCACAGCACAATTTCCAGATGAGACCACTGTCATAAAAGTGAAACAGCTGAGCTCGGGAGAGCCTGTCCTGCCTCTTGCCAGCTGCCACAGGTTGGAGAACTGGCCCCACCCCTCACCTGCACAAATCGAGAGAGCTGGCCCTGGTGGCCAGGATGCAGGAGGGCTGACCACTTCTGCTACTACACAGACCCACACTCAGGGCTTTGAGTTGATCCATCCCAACATCTGCCCCATCCACGAAGTTCGAGAAGGGGCCGGTCCTGCAGAACTAAAGCTGCAGGACCTCTGTGACACAGGGCAACAACAGGATATCCGAGAGGATTCCCAGTGAGGGTCCAGTGTTGACAGTGCAGCAGAAGCCAGAGCCTCCAACCAGACCAATGACTCACTGCAACCAACATCTGCAAGTGAAGCTGTTTGGACAAAAGGACAGACTGTGACACACAGCAGCTTCCACTGAGAGACTTATATTTGTTTGTTTTCTTTTGGGGGGAAGGCTGCAAGGAGGGAGGGTGAACATGGAGCGATGGGGAAATAAGGGGGATTGGGGTGCATGATGTGAAATTCACAAAGAATCAATAAAAAGTTTTTTCTTTTTTCTTTTTTTTTTTAAGATTCATTTATTTATTTATTATGTATACAGTGTTCTGTCTGCAGATATCCCTGCAGGCCAGAAGAGGGCACCAGATCTCATTACAGATGGTTGTGAGCCACCATGTGGTTGCTGGGAATTGAACTCAGGACCTTTAGAAGAACAAGCAGTGCTCTTAACCTCTGAGCCATCTCTCCAGCCCAATAAAAAGTTTTTTAAAAAGGGAAACAGCAAAGACTCCAAGCTGAGAAAGTGTGAGGCCCCCCCAAGGGAACTAATGGTAATTTGCAGTGAACACTTCTTTTTATGTGCACTGGTGTTTGATCTGCATATCTGTGTGAGAGTCAGAACCACTGGAACTGGAGTTAGAAACAGCTGTGAGCCACCATGTGGGTGCTAGGAATTGAACCTGGGTCCTCTTTTTTAAAGGGCATGATAGTACATATGTGTCAGCCCAACATGGAGCCAGGAGGGTCATGAGACTAGCAGGGCTACATGGCAAGACTATTTATCAAGAACAAAGGACAAAGCAGTCTACACATGTGGGTGCTGGGATGGACTTCAGTGGTGAGCACTTGCCTACCATGCACAAATCCCTGAGGCTGGACTCCCCAGCACTAAAGAAAAGAACAAAATCCTCTGTAAGGAGGCAGGCCATACATCTGTGGAGACCCACAGAGGCTCCCTAGTGAGACCTTACTCAAGGTCAGAAGATCTGAGCTTACTTTACCCAGCAGGGCTGCATAAGGGGATGATTTGGCCATGGGTGTGGTTACCAGGTGTTTTGAAGGGGCTACACTTGGCTGTACATTGTGCTTTGATCTTGAAAGGGGGAGGTCTTTTGCCTCTCCCCTTGGTAGTGGATAAAAAAATCCTTTGGAATAAACCTTGAGGCGACTGGGCATTGACCCAGGACCCTCCCGAAGCTATCCTGTGTCTCTGTCTATATGTCTATCTAATATTTCCTCATTCCTCTCTCCTCCCTGCAAGAAGCCTTTGACAGGTCAGAGCTGGACTCCGACAGACTCCCACATATATCCCAGAGTTCCAGCATGGTGTGCCCTGGTTCAACCCCAACCCCAAACACTCTATGAGGTCCTTCACTGATGTGGAAATGACGCAGCACCTAGAATTTGTTTCCAAACACTAAATGAGGTGTTCTGCCAGTGAAGAGACTAGAGACTGTATGCCGATACTCTGTCTACCCCCACGTTACGCTATGATCTTGAATGTCACCCAAGGGACCACGTGTTGAAGGCTTGGTCCCAACCGTAGGTGCTCCCGGGAGGTAGCAGAGTCTTAAGAAGGTAGGGTCTACCTAGGCTAGGGCAGGGCACTGATGCAGATCAGGGCCCTCCCTGTCTCTGTTTCTCAGCCATGTGGTAAACATCCCCAAGTGTTCCCACCATGGTAAATGTGCCACCACAGCCCAAGGCAGCAGGGCCAGGTGACTGGGGCTCCTCCTTTGAACCCTTTCCCCTATCAGCCAGTGCTCCTGTATCTTGTCACAGTGACGGGACACTGACTGGTACACATACGTGGCAGACGCCATGCCAGCCTTCTCCCGACCCTGAGCAGAGGCAGCTTCAGTTTCCTGACCTGCTTGAGCTGCAGGACTGTGCCCAGCGTCTCCACCATGGGGTTCTTCTTGTAATGCTCCACCAGGTCTGTCAAAGAGTCAAAGCGCTCTCCTCCGCCAACATCGTACTTCAGTTCCTTTCAGACCAGACAGATGGTGCTCATTATTACCTCAGGCTAGCCCACTGCCTTCCCACCCTCCTGCAGCCACTGCGTTCTCAGTGACACTTAACCTGTGTAACCAAGCCACTGGCTGTCTGGAGGGTACGATGAGAACAATACACACTTGTGTATCACATCTGTGTCATCACAGTGGAGCCACACTGGGCCTTGAGAAGAAAACCTGTCGTTGGTGACAACTGAGTGAGGGAGGAGGCCCTCCTAGTAAATCAAAGAAGCCACGGGCTGAAAGGAACATGTGTCACCTCACTTATGTGTAGCCTCCAAAAAACAAGTCCAACACACAGTGACAAGAGATCAGACGGTGGCTATGAATGACTTGGGTGCAGGAGAAGGTACTGGTGACAGACAGACCCTCCCTGTGTGGTGAACAGGCTCAGGAACCCCAATCCATCTGCAGCATGGTGACAACAGTGGACAGGGTTACATACACTGCAGATCTGCCAGGAGGGCATTTGAAGTGTTACGAGGTGATGGGTACAAAAAAACTACACTGTATTCAACTGAAGCCCAGAGACTGACTCCCGGAAACAGAAAGCCCAACATCCACAGTGCTGTAAAGGAAAGAGAGCAAGAGCAGCGGTGAAGGGGGGGGGGGGGGGCACTCAGGGGTGGAACAGGTGCCAGGTTCCATCCCAGCACCAAAGACAAGAGATGGCATAACACTTAATTACATCAAAATCAAACAGAAACTCCACACAGGCTGCCACGCGCTTCCCATCACCTCCAGACTCCTCCCGATGCCTAGGGCGGCATCAGTGCTCACATAAGTTCATGTACACAGCTGTGAAGCTAGATGGGACAAGAAAGTCTTCCCATGTCTAGACGGACAGGATGCTGAAGACTGCTGCCCCCAGGGGGTGGATCCACAGACATGGAGGGCCCAGTGCAGTGTCACCCGCCTGTGACACTCCTTAGGACAGTCAATCCCACAGAGCAGAGGCCGTGTGCACTGAAGCATCTGTCAAAGATGGACCCAAAAGAAAAAGCAGAATGGAAAACTGGGCAGGGTGGCAGCATGGCCAGGGCAGGCAGATCTCTGTAGGTTCCAGGCCTGGCTGGCCTACAGAGTGAGTTTCCAGACAGCCAGGGGTGCACAGAGAGATGCTATCTCAGAAAAACAAAAACAGCTCGGCAGTGGTGGTGCACACCTTTAATCCCAGCACTCGGGAGGCAGAGAGGCAGGCGGATCTCTGTGAGTTCGAGGCCAGCCTGGTCTACAGAGCAAGTTCCAGGACAGCCAGGGCTACGCAAAGAAACCCTGTCTCAAAAAAACAAAAACAAAAAAAGCCAACAGAAAAACACAACATCAACCAAAAAAAGAAAAAAGAATAAAAGTAACAGTGCTTCAAAACAACGAGACAGACACAGGAGAGACGGCCCTGAGCAAGGAAACTAAGCTAAGTGAATCCTGATGTGCGGGTGTCTGGCCCCAGACGCCACCGCACCAGCCCCCCAGTCCCCACCGTCCCGGGCTCTACCTGACAGCGGATCATGACGTGTGTCACTTTGGACTTGCCGTCATTGCTCTCCCCTTTGTCGTCGCCGGTTCGGACGGACAGAACGAAGTCCCCAGGGTGGCTCTGGCTCTCTCGGACAAGAAAGCTGCCATGCTTCCCCTTCTCCGTCAGCAGTTTCTCTGCTTCCTTTCCAGACAAGTGACCATGGAACCACCTATGTGTGGGAAAAGCAAACGAGCCGAGCTCAGCTGGGGTGTGCAGTATTGTCCATGTACCACACTGAGTCAGCTCTCCTCAACACAGGTTCCAGACAGACAGCTTCCTCCAGGGGACAGACTGTCCGACTAGACAGACTGCATCCCGACAGACAGGAAAATGACAAAGATGTGTTAGAAATGACAAATAAAGTTCATTTTTCTTTACTGAGACAATAAAAGTATCAGTGCTGAGATTATAGGCAATGCCACCACACTAGCCTCCACTGAATTTTAACAAGGAGCCCAGGATCATTTGAAAACAATATCCACCACATGATGGTGGTGCACACCTTTAATCCCAGCACTCAGGAGGCAGGCAGAGGCAGGTGGATCTCTGAGTTTGAGGCCAGCCTGAATATAGAGTAGAGTGAGTTCTGGGACAACCAGGGCTATACAGAGAAACCCTGTCTCAGAAGAAAAAAAAAGAAGGAAGAAAGGAAACAATATCTTCAATGCTTCCAATTTCCTTTTAAATCTCCCATCTTTTAAAAATACACTTGACTTTTTTTTTAAGTGCCTAACCCTAAAAGAACCAACTGTTGAGTTACAGGCATTTAGTGAAAAGATCAGAAAAAGTTACAAGCCTGGGCATGGTGGCACATGCCCATAATTCATGTGTGCTTACTAGTTTTTTTTTTGTTTTTTTTTGGTTTTTTTTTTTTTTTTTTTTTTTTTTTTTTTTGGTTTTTTGAGACAGGGTTTCTCTGTGTAGCTTTGCGCCTTTTCCTGGAACTCACTTGGTAGCCCAGGCTGGCCTCGAACTCACAGAGATCCGCCTGGCTCTGCCTCCCGAGTGCTGGGATTAAAGGCGTGCGCCACCACCGCCCGGCTCATGCTTACTAGTTTTATGTCAACTTCATACAAGCTAGACTCATTTGGGAAGAAAGAGCCTCAGTTGAGAAAATATCCCTACCAGATTGGTCTATAGGCAAGCCTATGGTGCATTTCCTTAACTGATGATCGATGGAAGAGGGCACTGCCCACTGTTGGCCATGCCATCCTTTCGCTGGTAGTCCTGGGTGCTATAAGAGCAGGCTGAGCAAACCAAGAGGGCAAGCCAGTAAACAGCATTCCCTCACGGCCTTTACATCAGCTCCTGCCTTGAGTTCCTGCCCTGACTTCCCTGGATGATGGACTATAAGCTGTAAGATGAAGTAAGCCCTTTCCTCCCCAAGTTGCTTTGGTCATGGTGTTTTATCATAATAACAGAAACCCTGACTGAAACACCGTACAGACTCCCTAGTGTACACAAAAGATGAGGAGCACAGTGTCACCCTCAGTTACACAGCCATCAGGAGGCCAGCCCAACCTGCATGAGACCGGGACTCAAGCAACAAATAAACAAGTTATAAAAGAGACAAGATAATCATGAATCTGTGCTCATTTTGACATTAGATAAAAATGGATCTTTGTTATAAATTAATTCAATAATCAGATTTTTCTGTATTTCTACCCTATACTTAAATGTCTCTCAACCTGCTGTCCAGTTCTTCAAACCACACTGGGTTATCAGTCAAGCTTTAATGGTATGTACCTCTTGGAGCAGGGACAGGGTTTCCCTAATAGTGTGAGCTCCCACAAGCAGAGAGCAATGTCTACATGGAACCCAAAAGACTGTACTTTAACTGTTGTACTGGAGAGTCTGGATGCAGGCTGTCCAGGGCCATGAAATGGCAGATTCTGAAACAACTCAGCTCTTAACATCGAAACCGAGTCACAGGAACAGCAGCCCTCGGAGAAACAAATGACCAGCACATAATACGGGCATCGGGGAAAGACACGATATACAGACCCAGAACCCGCGATCAGAAAGGGGCTGCAGAAGCCAAGACCAGGGCCAACCAAACAAGCACTAGCTCTCAACTTCAAACCCATGGGAAGGGCTCTACCACGTGGCAGTTCTCTGCAGACAGTCATGCTCACACACTTGGGAGATAACGTTAAAAAGAAGGTGAAGAGCCACGGGCTTAGCCTGACCTCTGTTGGTAGTGCTGCTCAACAACTGGTCTGAGCCACTATGGAACACTGCTGCTGTTTCAGCATATCTCCCAAAGCTCATGAGCTGTGGATAAATCTTACAATTAAAGCCTGTACTAAATCTACTCGGGGGAAGCGTGAGAGCCCTGTGGAATCCATGTAAGGAACACTGACCGCAGCTGCTGTGAGGGAAGGGCATTCTACAAATACTCTAACGCCATCGTTCCTACTTTAATACACCACCAGGCTGGGGACAGAGCTCAGTGTGTAGAGAGCCTCACTGGCATGACCAAGCCTGTGCTCAACCCCCAGGACCACATCAGCCAGACACAGTGAAGCACTTCTATAACCCTAGCACTCAGGAGCTAGAAGCAAGAAGATCAGGAATTCAGTCATCCTCACTACACAAGGAGTCCCAGGCCACCCTGAATTACAATAAACCCTGCCACAAACAAAACAAAACATAATGTTTTAAAAATGACAGCATGGGGAGCTGGAGAGATGGCTCAGCAGTTAAGAGCACTGACTGCTCTTCCAGAGGACCCAGGTTCAATTCCCAGCAACCACATGGTAGCTCACAGCTGTCTGTAACTCCAGCTCCAGTGAACCCGACACCCATGGCAAAACACCAATGCACATTAATTAATTAACTCATTAATTAATTGAAAAAAGTGACAGCATGAGGGACAGACACCAGCTTTGGAGTCACACAGATCCTGTGTGCCCCACAAGACAGACACGTAGCATGTAGCCCTAGAGTGCAGATTAGCGTTCACTAAGGTGTCACTGACCTTTCAGAGGTCGGGTCTGCGCAGTTCAGTGGGTACTTGAGCTCAATAACATCTCCATTCTTCTCTTTCAGCTGCCCGTGATGCTCCATGTAATACTGGACCAGTTCAGCCAAGGTGGCAAACTTCTCCCCACCATAGAGGTCATAGTAGTCCCCAGTGTTCTGAATCTTGATGTGGGTGACGGCTCCATTTCTTCTAAAATAGTCCATCGGGGGGAGGGGTGTCAAAGAGCAATACTTGGAAAAAGAGACCTCACATTAGGAGAAGATTTCACCCAAACCCTGGAACAAACCCAATGAAAAGATGTACCCCATCCCTGAAACTGGAGATCAAATCACCCCACCAACTATGCCGACCCACAGCACTGTGTCTGCCTGTGCCCTGGATAGCTTCCATTTTGAACTGCTGGCCTATTTTTACGGTATAGGTTGAGTGACAACTATTACTGTCCTTAACAATTAAGGACACACAGTTGAAGTTAAAATCAACTACCTTGGTGTCCAGCAAATCCACTCCTAATTGTTTTTGTCCAAGGCAATAATAATGAACAGATAGCAAAAGACTTTCAAAAACGGATAAGTAAAAGACAGAAACTCAAAATATTTATCACCAAGATATACCAACAGCCAGGCACCTGGAAGGCTGAGGCAGGAAGACACTGGGCTACAGAGCAAGACCATATTTAAAATAAGAAAATGTACAGGCTTGCTTGTATATAATATAAAATATATAAATATTGCCTAAAAAGTATGGTGATGCACACCTATAATCCAGCACTTGGGAGGCTGAAGCAGGGGGGTCAGAAGTTTAAGGCCAGCCTTCAATACATGAGATCATGTCTCAAAAACACAAACCAAAAGATCCAACAACAAGAAAAATAAACAGGGCCCAATGAGATGGTTTAGTGGGTAAAGGGGGCCTGCCAGCAAAGCTGACCTGACAAACCGAGGTCAATCCCCAGGACACACGTGGGAGAAGGAGAAAACCAACTCCCAAAGCGGTCCTCCGACGTGTACAGTCATGCCATGACACTTTCACACATGCACACACACCAAATAAATGTAAAAAAAAATGTTTTTTTAATCAGTACATAAAAAATGTAAATGCTAAAAAAAATTAAATTAAAAATGTGTGAGTGGTGTGCTGGCTGAGCAGGGAAAGTCTGACAGTCTAAGCCTGGTCCCTGAGAGCCACAAGAACTGTGGCAGGAGGAGGGAGCTGGGGCGGGAGGAGGGGGCTGGGGCGGGAGGAGGGGGCTGGGGCAGGAGGAGGGGGAGGGAGCTGGGGCAGGAAAAGAGGCTGTGAAGCACACACATCACACACACAAAAATAAACAAGTATATTCAAAACGTGTTAACTAACACGGAAGTCTGGCATGCACTCCCTAGAGGGTGACTGCCCAGTCAGTGCTGACATCTCTTCTGTGTAAGGCTCAGGCTGTAGTCCTACATACACCCTTACTCACAACTTTCTTTCAAAAGGTTCAAGAAGCCCACATGGTGTGGAGTGTGCCTGTAATTCTAACACAGAGGCAAGTAGATCTCTGTGAATTCAAAGCCAACCTTGAATCTATATGTCAAGTTCCAGGCCAGCCAGTGCTACTTAGTGAGACTCTGTGTCATGAATAAATATAAGACCCTGTGCTATAAAAATAAATGAATGAATGAATGAATGAATGAATGAATACATACATACATACATAAATGGCACTTCCTAAGTCTCAGATTCTAAATAAATTCCCAAGGACATGAGTTACTCATCTCTTTATGTGAAAAGTAATGTCTAGGGGCTAGAGAGATTGCTCAGTGGTTAAGAGCACTGGCTGCTCCTCCAGAGGACCCAGGTTCAATTCCCAGCACCCACATGGCAGCTCACAACTGTCTGTAACTCCAGTTCCAGGAGATCCAGCATCCTCACACAGACATACTTGCAGACAAAACACCAGTGCATATAAAAGAAAAAAGAAAAAAAGAAAGGAAGAGGGCTGGAGAGATGGCTCAGCGGTTAAGAACACTGACTGTTCTTCCAGAGGTCCTGAGTTCAATTCCCAGCAACCACATGGTGGCTCACAACCACCTGTAATGAGATCTGGTGCCCTCTTCTGGCCTGCAGGGACACATGCAGGCAGAACACTTTTTACATATAAAGAAAGAAAAAAAAAAGAAAGAAAGAAAAGTAGTATCTATAAAATCAAATCCAAAAAAAAAAAATAAAATCCATACACTGTAGTTTGAACAGCAGAATGGGTATATAGAAAATGTCATCTAGAAAGCTCTTCCATGCCTGCTCAAAGAGACTCTGAGGATGTACCACACTGTCCCCAGGATTTCACACAAACCAAAGCCTCCCAATGTCCATCACTAGAAGAATGGAGATGCTGGTATGTTTGCATCATTTGACCACCGAGGAGCCACTTCAATGAACAGTTAGATGTCCCAGCATGTAACTCAACAGCATTCCAATGGAGACATGAATTACAGAATGGTCAATGCGCTGGCAACACAAGAGCTCACGAGGCAGTCAAGTGTGCAACCCATCAGGAGGATTCATGCAACCCCTGGACAACACCTTCCTCTGGAGAAAGGAGGGAAACGGGACTGGGCAGGGGATTCCAGGGGACCACAACTTCCTCACAGAGGTTTTCATTCTTGACAAAGGAAAGTGATGTGAAGAACCTTACAAAGCCTGTTCCCCATGACAAAGTCCATAGCAAAAAAAGAAAAACACTGGAGGCAGGTCAAAGGTGAGGAGCCAGGACTCAGTCCTGGAGGCTCCGGGTGTATCTCTGCCCAAGGAATGCTTGGTCACCGCTGTGAGCAGAAGCCCATCAGTCCTTTCCACTACTTCCCAAGGCTGTGACTCTGGGTGACCATAAAAGTCATGGAAACAGGGGCTGGAGAGATGGCTCATTGGTTAGGAGCCCTGGCTGCTCTTCCTAAGGACCCGAGTTCGGTTTCCAGCACCCACATGGTGGCTCACAACTATCTATTACTCCAGTCCCCTTCTCTAGCCGCTGTGAGCACCAAACACACAGGGCGCACATACACACACGTAAGCAGAACATTCATACACATAAAATAAAATCTTTAAAAAAAAAAAAAAAAAAAAAGCATAGAAGCAGGCCAGTGCCCTGAGTGCTCCACAGTGCAGCAGATGGGCCCTCAAGCTCTGAGGGAAGGTGTGAGGCGGCCAAATGCTGCCTTGCCCTTCCTCTGGAAACACCCTGAGTATCTGTCTTTCTTTACCTTCCAACTTACCTAACGGACAGAGTGAAGTCTCCAGGGTTACTCTTACTGGGCCTTGCCAAAAAACTGCCATCGACTCCTCTGGTCAGCAGAAGATTCTCTGCCTCCACACCAGTGATGTTGGGGTGAAACCATCTGGAAGGAGGAAAAATGACATTGAGAAGCAGAGGCCTCAGTAGCACCCACACCACCACAGCTGAGCGCCCTCACACCATGTGGTGGAGGCCTGTGAGCAAGGGCTGACAGCCAGCCTCCAGGCTAGCCCTTCCCCTCTCCTCAGTCCCTTTTTCCTGGGTGGGACATTAGCATCCTGCCATCCTGCAGGCCCTGGAGGTGGGAGAGGGGCATGGCCAGTGGGGCTGGGCTGTTCACACAATGCACTAGTGGGTCTGTCTGCCCCAAAAGATCGTCCACATGGTCAGGAAATTGTGTGCATGCAACAAAGCCAGGCAAACACAAACTACTTCATGAATAAGGACAGGTGCTGAGGCTCACAAGAGCCAAGTTCTCACTGCTGGGGGGAGGGAACCAGAACACTCGCAAGGACCAGACTGCAAAGGGAGACACCCATGTAAACTCAACATCCTAATACCTATGTAGAGACAAATACGTAAGTATATGAACAGAACAAGGTGTTTCCAGAAATAAATATAAGTTGCCTCCCCCACAGAATACTTGTTCAAAAAAAAAATCTGATAAAGCATCACAGTAGAGAAATTTAACAGAATTTTTTTCTTTTTTTTGAAACAGGAGTCACGATGTACCCAAGGCTAGCCTAGAACTCAGACTCTCCCACTTGCAGCCTCTAGAATAAGACTAGAGGTGCATACCACACCCAGAGCAGACACTATCTTACTCAACTGGCAGTCTCACCTGTTAAGAGGGAGCAAACTGTGCCTCCAGATCCCACACTAGGAGCTTCAAATACAATGTCCTTCAGAACACAAAAGTGACCACTTGGATGCCATTCACTTCAAAAGATTCCCCCTAGTTTCCAGCAAATTCTCCCTCATGTGGCTGGAGAGACGGTTCAGCAGTTAAGAGTGCTCATTGCAAAGAAACCTGAGTTTAGCTTCCCCCAGCACCTACATGGTGGCTAACACAACAATTTGTAACTTGGCTCCAGAGGATCTGATTCCCTCTTCCGCCCTCCAAGGGCACCCATACTCATCCCAGAGTGCAAGCGCGCATGCACAAAATACTTAAATAAATAAAATATTTAAGATCTCCTTCATGGACTTAAATCACCAAGACTCATGTTAACTGAATCAATGCTCAGGCTAAACGACCCTGTGTCTTTAGAGACTGACATTTCTAAATACTCTCAGGAAATGAGAGTCAATATTAAATGTTAGGAACCAAGGCCTGGGGCTGTATCCCAGTGGCAGAGTGCTTGCTTAGCATGCATAGGACCCTGGGTTCCACTTCAGTCCTGCATTAGTCATACCACAAAAACCAGGGGAGGGGCGGGGTACACACCCTAATCTCAGTACTTGAGAGGTAGAGGCCATCCTCAGCTACAGCCTAGGCTACAAGAGATCCTGTCTCAAAAAAAAAAAAAAAAAAAAAAAGCCAGGTGGTGGCAGTCCACGCCTTTAGTCCCAGTATTCAGGAGGCAGAGGCAGGTGGATCTCTGAGTTCCAGGATGACCGGGGCTACACAGAAACCCTTTGCTGGAAAACAAAACAAAGAAAGAAAACGTTTCGGCTGCAGCTTCTCTGAACTGTGGTTCCCATTGAGGTGCTCAGGGCCCCAAAGGAGTCAAAAAGCTGTTAACGGTGGGTTTCCAGCTCTTCAGGTTTTCAAAAGGCATAATGGTACTCTTGCCTTACCCACACCAGCTAATTACTACATTAAGTCTCTTTTACTCTTGTCTACCAAACCTCCGTGTTCACTTGGCGTGGTAGTCTAAAGCTGAGAGGCATGAACACCTTCTATTTAAAACAAACACACACACACAAAAATCAGCTGGGTGTGGTGGCACACACCTTTAGTCAGGCTTAGTACTCTGGAGGTAGAAGCAGAGTGAGTTCTGGACCAAACCAGGGCTACACAGTATGATCCTGTCTGAAGCCGGGCAGTGGGTGGGTGGCGGTGCACGCCTTTTATCCCAGCACTCAGGAGGCAGAGACAGGTGAGTTGAAGGCCAGCCTGGTCTACAGAGCGAGTTCCAGGACAGCCAGGGCTACACAGAGAAACCCTGTTTTGGAGAGAAAAAAAAAAAAAAAAGAACAAAAAGACCTTGTCTGAAAGAAAAGAAAAAACTTACCTATCTCATAATACAGGTTGGAGACAGAATTTATGGTTTTGGTGTTAAAGGCATCCTCCAGTGGGTGAAAAAGCATTTGACTGCAGGGTTTCAAGGGTAAAAACCCAGAACCTGGTGCCAAACTGTCTTGGCAAATCCCAGCTGAGTGACCCTTGCTAGTATCTATGAAGCAGGGAGAGTAACTGCCCCGTGGCACAGGGGCCTGAGGGAATGAGACAGCACAGAACTGTCTAGAATAGTGCCTGGACGTCCCTGTGGCAGACAGTGGTGTGCACCTTGATCCTCAGCAGGTGGAAGCAGGAAGGTCAGAGATTCAAGGTCAGCCGGGGCAAGCTCATCAGCCCGTGCCTCCACTCTCCTCATCTGTGTGATGTGAGAGACAGCGCGCCGGCCCTTCACAGGTGTCGAGGATGAGTGAGTCAAGGCACCAAAAGGAAACACGCCCCCGCCCCAGCTCTCTGGGTTCCGAGCTCTTCCGAGACAGCCCGGCCTGTCCTCAGGAACCGACCCCCTCTGCCTGTGTCTGTGTGATTTAGCCATTGTTGCTTCCCCACCCCGCTTCCGTGCCAATCTGACTTTTCTGAGCAGAGCTTCGATTGTAAATTCTGTCCAAATCAGCCATTGGGTGGGAACATAGCTTGCTGAGCCTCAAAGATTTGACCACTTTCTTTTGGTTTTTCTCTCTCTAGAGACAGGCTGGCCTCCAACCCTTGGTCCTCCTGTCTCAGCCCAGCGCTGGGGTTCCAGGCATGGCACGATGCCTACCTCTGCCCATCACTGTCAACTTTCACTTTAGCTCTTTAGTAACCTGTTTCTAGTACGATTCTCATTTTCTGTATGGGTGTGCTCATGCCAGGGCACTCATGTGAGGTGGGTTCTTGCCTTCCACCACGTGGTCCTAGGGATGGAGCTCGGGTCATCAGATCAACGGCAAGTGCCTTCACTGAGTCATCTCGCTGACCCTTAATTATGTTTCAATCATGATGATGGATATCTTGTAGTGTTTGAAAATTACCCATAAGCCTACAACAATCAGAGTTATTAGATTTGTATTTTTATGTGTTGGAGTGTTTTGCTGGTGCATCAAATGTGTGCCATGTGCCCAGAGGCCAAAATGGACATCAGATCCTCTAACGTCAGGCAGTTGCGATCTGCTACATGGGTGCTGGGAACTGAACCCAGGCCCTCTACAAGAGCAGCAAGTGCTCTTAACCACTAGGCTCTCCAGCCCCAAATCACCAGGTTATTAAAGGGGAAAATGGTGCTTCCTCTGTGTGAATAGTGAAGCAATCCCAGCCTCCCTCTCTGGAGTCACAGCCCACTATTAGTCCTCCTGAGAGGGGCATGGCAGGCTCAGAAGTTGCTTCACTGTGCAGATATCCAGCCTGGGCCCACAGTTCACCTACAGGCCTGTTCTCTGTCCTCACTGTCCTCTTTTGCTCCTGTTTTAAAAACAAAAGTCTTGTAGTGTCTGAAAAATTATCCTTAAGCCTACAACCATCAGGGGTTTTGTTTTTTTTTTTTTTTAAAGACTTCTTTGTATCTTTGATGGGTGTGGGTGTTTTGCCAGGACATCAGGGTGGGGACATGGCTCAGTCAGTAAAGTGCCTGCCATGCCAACATAGAGCTCTGAGTTCAAATCCCAAGCACCCATGTAGAAGTTGGGTGTAGTGGCTTGTGTCTGTAACTCTAGTGCTGGAGAGGTGAGGACCCCTAGAGCTTGCTGGCCAGACATTCTAGCAAAACCCTTGTGGAGATGGTTTTTCCACTCTTATGTGAGCTGTAGATTCAGTGAGAACCCTCTCTCAAAACTAAAGTCACCTGTGAGAAACAGCACTGTGCACACAAGTGGGAACCCAACTTTTAACCTACGGCTTGAAGGTCTTCCTGTAGGAGTACATTCGTTTTCATGAGTACAGAATATTCTACTGTGCCAACACTGTCATATCCCTGATGTAAGAGGCTGATGCAGCTGCTTTGGTTACTCACATCTGTATTATCAGTGCGCAGGATGCTGAGGCAGGTGGATCTTTGAGAGACAGAGGCCAACCTAGGCAACACGGCAAGACTGTCTCAAAAAAAAAAAACAAATTAACAGTCAAGCATGGTAGTGTTCACGTGCAATTCCAGCATTCACAAGGCAGGGTACAATCCAGTCTTGTCTACACAGCAAGTTCCAGGCTAGTCAAGGCTACAGAGCCAGACCTTATCTCAGAAGTAAAGGAAGGAAGGCAGAAAGGAAGGAAGGAAGGAAAGGAGGGACGGAGGGACGGAGGGATGGAGGGAGGGCACCCTGTGATAATGCTGCACTCGTCTTTGGACACATTCATATATGTAAATTAGATTTTTGGAAATTAAAAGTCAGTGAGATAGCTCAGCAGGTAAAGTGCTTGATTGCTGTTCAAGCCCAGCACTCCAAGTTTAATCCTGGGAACCCACCTAAGGGTGGAAGAGAACCAGTGCCACAAAGTTACCCTCTGACCTCCACATGCACCACGGCAAGCATGCTCCCCTCCACAATAACAATAACTAATTTATCAATAAAATGTTTAATCTACATAAGTAATTTTTCAGTTGTGTTTTGTCTTGAGACAGGGCTGCTCTGTTGCCAGGCAACAATGAGCTGGAAGGATCCCTCTGTATCTTTCAAGTGCTGAGGTTATAGCACGTGCCATTAGGCCTGCTTTAAGGGATTCTTTTGTGTGGACTAAACACTGAGCTGTATCCCCAGCCCCTAACTTCTATGGTGACAAATACTGCCGACTACCCTGGAAGGCACACCTCCACAGCCATTCCATCCCTCACCTTGATCAACACTGCATGAATTATCGAGCTCTGTCTGCTCCCCTGACCAGTGGAAAGTGGC